CCTATTCCCCCTCCCCCAGCCCCTGGCTACCACCATTCTACTTTCTACCATCATGAATTCGGCTACTCTTTCCATAAACTTTTAACCAGATGGCAAAAGAAATCACTAACATGTGGGCCTGCGAAGTGCGTGCCCCATTCTGATGTGCTGTGGGATGTCTTGCTCAGTCCTACCGACAGCAGCATGGATAAAACCATAGCCTACCACTGCCACCCACCGCTTTCAGGGCTAATTTAGTGAACAGGACAAAGACAATTCAAATGCTACTGAAAGCTGGTGTCCCCTGCCAATCCAGAAGGCTTCCCTAAAGATTAAGGACCAAAGTCCCTGGAAAGGTTGTCATGGCCTGAAAATACACTGGGGCTTAGATCACTGCTGTGACCCATCACCAGTCTATTTTCCCATTTCCTAAACAGGCAGCAGATTATGCTGCAGCATCAAGTCCAGACTCAGCATGAGTGTCTCAACAAATATCACTCACGTCCCTGCTCCAGTCCCCACCCACCAGCCAGGGTGCCTGATCCCTGACACTGACCCCTTTCCAAGCAGTGGTTCCATTCATTCCCATCACTACAATGACAAGGTAAGACCTGTGGTATTGTCTATAAGCAAAGAATGTATTGAAAACTACATAATTCATGCTGAACTCCATGATAATTTCAGTATGCACTGGATTTGGTTTATCTATCTATCCTTGTCTTTGATGATTGTATCTTTTAATTCTAGGAGTACCAAGAGGACAGGAATGACCTTGTGATTTCAGAGACTGAACTGAAACAAGTGGCTTACATTTTCAAATGTGACAAATCAACGCTCCAGATGAAAGGGAAAATAAATTCCATTACAATTGGTAAGGCAGAACTATGGCTCTGTAGGTTACTATAATGGGTTATTTTGTATGAACGTGCTATGTGTATTTAGTGGCGTTGGTATTTTTTGTTTCCTAGACAACTGTAAGAAGTTTGGCCTTGTGTTTGACAATGTGGTAGGCATTGTAGAAGTTATCAACTCTAAGGACATTCAGATCCAGGTAAGCGGCCCTTCCAACTGTGCTCTGTCCCCCAGCCATGGCTTTGCACAGATCATCTGCTCTACCTGCAAGGGGGGGCTATTTCTCCTCCACATCCATCTAAAGAACTCCTGTTCCCATTCCCTATAGAGACCGCCTCTGTGATGCTGTACCTTCTTCTTAGATGGCGTTACTTATTTTTTTTTCAGTCTCTTACAACTCATCCCGCAAACTCATTTGTGCTGCAGTTGCTGGTTCATC